TATATGTATATATGTATATATATATATATATATATATATATGTATATATATATATATATCACTTTTTTTTGGGTCATGAACACATGAATAATTTTTTCTTCTTCACATTCTCCTCAAGCCATTAATAATTTTTCTCATGAACTCATAAATAGTTCCTTATATGTATATATGTATATATATATATATATATATATATATGTATATATATATATATATCACTTTTTTTTGGGTCATGAACACATGAATAATTTTTTCTTCTTCACATTCTCCTCAAGCCATTAATAATTTTTCTCATGAACTCATAAATAGTTCCTCCTCCTCCTTGATCATTATTTATCTTTTTTCATCATCACTTCCACCATTACATCTCTCTTCTATTTTTCTTATCATTTCTTAACTATTATCTTTTGTCGCCACACATCTTCTTTGTCATTTTATTCTTTCATTAACCTTCTCTTTTGTTTATTCTTCAACAAACGTTGTCGCAACGCTCAAAGACTATTTCTTTTGGCTGAAACGATCATCTCCTAAAACCACGTTATACTAGTTAAAATTAACATTTAAACTTTATATTTAACATATAACATTTAAAGTTAACCTTTGAATACTAAATTTAATATGGGGCGTCTAAAGTTAATAGTTAATAATTAGTTAAACATGTGAGAATTAAAGTTAACACGTGATAAATTTAATATCTAATAATTCAAAGGTTCTATATTAATTTCTAAAATTAAATGTTAACTTTACACCTCACATGTTAACTTTAGTCATTAGATGTTAAATTTAGACGTTACTTGTTAGCTTTAATTATTATATGTTAATTGTAAATTTAGATGTTAACTTTAACTGTTAATTGTTGACTTCGACGTACTTATGAGATATGTATTTTTAGCCCAATACATAATCTTTAGATGATACAACGGTAGTTATGGAATGAGAAGAAGAAAATGGAGATAAAGGAGGAGGAGGAGAAAGGATGGTAGAAGTGGAATGGAAGAGGAGAGGGGACGGGAGGGGAGAAAAGTAAGGATGGGATAGATAAGAGTGGAGGAAAGAGAAAGTTGAAAAAAAGAGGAAGGAGGAGGTCGAAGGAGGAAGGATGAGAACGAAGTTGAAATGTAGGAGTGAGAAGGGTGGAGAATTAAGTTAGACAAAGAAGGAGAGAGGAGGAGGGAGGATGATGGGTGAAGAAAAGAAGAGGATGAAATGGGGTGGAGGAGGGAGAAGCTGAAATTTAGGAGGGCTTTTTCACGTGAGAAGTTGGATCAAGTGATCTAAACACGAGAGGATTCTAATTTTGGGGCCTAGACACAAGTATTCCTAGAAATAGCACCAAGAAAAAAAAGAAAAAGGAAAAAAAAATAACATCATGATCCCATGAACCAAAGGCATGAGAATGAACCCAATGTCGAAGATGAGGGCAAGCAAAGCTTCAAGGACGAGTGATCCGAAGCCCGCCGAATCACCGGGCGACATTGATTATCTCGCTTGAGCAGGAAGGTGAGGGAGCAGTACTCGATGAGGTGATCGCGCTCTCGTTGAAGTATGTCGACATCATTGGGAGGAGATGAATCGAGTGAGCTGAGTCTAAAATGGCTGATCCAATAGTAGATTCCGCAGCTGCCACGGTTGGAACTAATGAAGCAAATGATTCGGTAGTAATGCACGACTTCAATTGGCATATAGTGTAAAAAAAAAGAAGCTTCGCAATAAAAAAATCTAAGTCAATGGAAGACTTGCAAGGATATTTAGAAAAGTATAGACCTCGGCAACAACACTTCCTATATCCGCTACTCTTTCAGGAGTATATTTATGCACTTTCTCATAATAGTGGTCTAAAGGATAAGCTACATAAGCAATAAATTTCTCTGCTTCCCCAATAACGGGCTCGATGTGGTAGCATCGTCCTTCGTAACGATCAAGACTGGTAAGTCCACTCTGCTTCCCCAATAACGGGCTCGATGTGGTAGCATCGTCCTTCGTAACGATCAAGACTGGTAAGTCCATCAGTCCACACAGTTGTCCATGTACCAGTAGAAGATTCGGCAGCTAAGTCCATCAGTCCACACAGTTGTCCATGTACCAGTAGAAGATTCGGCAGCTACCGCAGCGCCCGCTTCAATTCTTCCTTCTCTGAGCCTGTCTTTTTGTAAATTTTCAACCTTTTAGGAGATATTTGCAAAGCCAGAAACTTTAAGGGGGTTTTCAAAATTTTCTTTTAGGGAGCTTTCCACGATTTCTGAAACTCTCAAAAGAGTATTTGCCAAGTTCTTTCAAGGGGTTTCTGTAAATTTCTTCCTTAGGCTTTTTGCAATTCCTAAAACTTTCAGTGGTTTTTATAAATTTCTTCCTGGGATTTTTGAAATTTGTAAAAATTTAAGGGTATTTTTGCAAAATTATTTCAAGGTTTTCTCATAATTTTTTAAATATTAGGGGTTTTCTATAAAATTATGTTAGCGAGTGTTTCCTATTTTAAAATTTTAGGGGGTTATTTGCAATGAACAAGATTTTGTTAAAATATTTACTAAATCCTTTTGACTCAACTTTTTCTAACAAGTTTGTTCACTTTGATAGTGTTTATACTTTATGGAAATTTATTCAAGCACATCAAGGAAACTTGGAGAAAATCCGACGTAGTTTGGAGGATTCTTCTTCAAGTGAGTGTGGAGCATCATCATGCACACAGGCACTAGGCGATAACCCTAGTGATGTTTGCAAGTTCAAATCCATTAATAATGTATCTAGTGATGAACTTGCGTGTGCTTCTGAAAAATTATTACATGCCTATAACAAATTACATCATACCTTTTTAGAGTTAAAAAACAAGCATGTAGAATTAAAATCCGATCATGAGAAACTAATATCCAAATTTGATATCATTGAAAAAGAAAATATAATGCTTAAAGAAAACAATAATATTTTAAGTTTGAAAAATAAAAAATTAAGCTCATTCATTGCTAGCTTATCTCATGAAAAAGATAATGTCATATTAGAAGTAAAGAACATAAAAATAAAACTGCTTCTTTTATAAATGACTATATATGTTCTACTTCTAATAAAAATACATATGTGCCTAATAATAAAAATTTGAATCTTGTGAATAAATGCATTTCATCTTTAGATTTAACTTTGAAAACATGCATTAATAATCATAAGAAGCTTATGAATATGTGTGCCAAGTCTAGTGCAAACAAACCATCATCCACTCATTATGCACACATATATAGCAAAGTTTACAAATGCTCTATTTACGGTCGAAAAGACCATTTATCTAAATTTTGTTATGATGCACACAAATATAAGAATACCAATGCTCATTGTGCATCTCATCAAGTTTCTTCATCACATGTACACACACATACACAAAAAGTATATCATAAGCATGCTCATGTGTATCAGTGTGATCTTTGTGATCGGTTTGGCCATTTGGCAAACTTTTACTTTGATTTAAAAAGAAAATCTCATTTGCCAAATGTTTTTAGTAGACCATATGTTTTTAAATGTGATGTTTGTGGTATGTTTGGACATCTTGCTAAATTTTGTTTTGATTTGTAAAAAACTCCAAATTTGAAATTTGCTCCAAAAATACCATCTTTGTTTAATAATGCTTCACATTTACAAAATAATTTTAAAAGACCATCCATGTTTGCAAATGTTTCCCGTGCACGAGTTAATGGTCCACAAAAACAAATGGATCTCTTTCATTGCACATATTACAATCAGAATGGTTATTTGTAAGATTATTGTTATGACCATATTAGTGCACCACATGCGCTCAAGAGGGTTCATAACCCTAGGGCTTTGAGCTTGAATGATAGGGGTCATGTCCCTAACCAATCCGGCACTAAAAATGATTGGGTGCCAAAATCTTTTTAAACCAAAATTTTTGTTATTTTCTTATTTTTCATGTCTTGGTTTTGAAAAATGTTTTTAAATTTTTTTTAATATGAAAACAATTTTTCTTTGATCAATTCTTTTGTTTTCATGATTATTAGTTTCGATTTTTGAATTTTTCTTTGATCAATTCTTTTGTTTTCATGATTATTAGTTTCGATTTTTGTTGAGAGGTTTGTGTTTATATAACCCCCCTCAATTCTTTTGTTTTCATGATTATTAGTTTCGATTTTTGTTGAGAGGTTTGTGTTTATATAACCCCCCGGGTTTATTAGGTGTTTATTCCCAAATCATGTTTACCGGGTGCTAAAAATATTTATATGGTTGGAACATGCTCAAGAGCTTGATATTGTCGCCTCTCTTGCCAATATACTCAAGAGCTTGATATTGTCGCCTCTCTTGCCATTTTTATATTGGTTTACTTTTTATGTGATTTATTTGTGATTTATGATTTTATTTGAGTGATTTATTTTTATTTGATTTTTTTTCATGATACGCATGTTCTTCTTTCTTTTGATTTCATAAATCTATTTTTATACATTGTTTTTAGGCTTGTGTTGAGACACGCTATTTTATAATGATATATCATCATGTGTTCTCATTGTATTTTTGGTATGTGAATTTTGCCTAGCATGATTTCATATATGGTTGCTCATATTTTTGACTTGGTCTTCATTGCATATATTCCATAAGGCATTTTGATAGGGGGAGTCATTCCCTATATTTGTTTTATACTCACTCATGCTTATTGGTAGGGGGAGCTTTCGCTCTCTTTATTCTTTTGTTTTCCTCTTTTTGATGTTGTCAAATGGGGAGAAATATTATGAGTATATTCTTTTTGTTTATATGCATGATAATTATAATTTATATATTCAATTCCTTTCATGCATATATATCTTTTTATAAATTGTTTGTCATCATCAAAAAGGGGGAGATTGTTGGGTCCTTTTGTTTTGATGATGATTTACAAACATTTGTCATCATCAAAAAGGGGGAGATTGTTGGGTCCTTTTGTTTTGATGATGATTTACAAACAATTTACTTCTAATGTTGTTTGTCTAGTATTTGTGTCCTTTTGTTTTGATGATGATTTACAAACAATTTACTTCTAATGTTGTTTGTCTAGTATTTGTATTTTGTATTTATTCTAGGCAAACAATATGTTGGAGGATGGATGGAATTGTACCATAACGATCATATCAAACGGAGGTTGACGGAAATAGTGGTTGAAGCCCTTGTAATTCAAGTTGAAGATCCAAGTTCAAGCTTCATCCGTAAGTTTACCAATCCAAGCTATATTAAAAACCTTCAAGCTTTGGTATATAGTTTATAGTGCTTGTAGTATAGGTTTATACTTGTGTGTTAATACTTTAAGCTCATATTAATCACACACACGTATTTGTTGATTTTATCAAAATATAAGTGTTTTTGTGAAAATATTGTTTTATTTGTTTATAGAATTAACAATCATTATATACATATTTCATTAAGTCTATATAATCATTTTATAAAGTTTCAAAGTATGGTTTAGTCAAAATGACAAAACAAGTGTTGTTTCATTTTCATGTTTTGGATTATTTTGTAAAATAAAGAGATTTCTCATTTGGAATGTATTTTTTAAAAATCAGTTTTTGTAACATGTATATTATCATGTTTACAATCATTTCTCAAAGTTTTATATTTTTTTTATTTTATTTGCTATTTTTAAAAGAGGTTTGAAAATCAGATTTTCTGTTTTAATCAAGCTGATACAGTGTTATCAGTCGACTGATGACTGTGTTCAGTCGATTGAAGAAAACATCTGTAATAACAAAAAGTTTCTGTTATTTTTTGGTTGACTGACCAGTCGGCTGATGAGGTCATCAGTCGACTGATAAGGTCCGTCAGTCGACTGATGAGCTGGAAACGCCTCTAACGGTAAGCTCATCAGTCGACTGATGAAAGCCGTTAGACGACTGATGCTGTAACGACTAGTTTTTTCCAGCCTGTTCTAGTTTTGGTTTTTTTGGTCTTTTTGCCTTGTTTTCTCTTGGCTTTGGGGTTCCTATAAATACCCCCACATATCATCGGTTCACATTAACAAGAGAAAAGTTTTTAAAAAGTATTTTACAAGTTTTGTTTAAGGGTTTCAAAGTTTGTTTAGTGTGTTTACAAGTTTGTGAAGAAACTTTCACAAGAGCAAGTGGAGATCATCCTTTGGTGTTTGAGCATTCACTCTTATCCCTCTCTCTTGTTATCCATAGAGAAGTTTTCTAAACTCAATCTAGCTTTATATTTATATTGTTTGATATCATTTCATTAAGCTAATGTTTATATTGAGTTTAGTTGATTTTATTTACTCATTGTTTACACACACAACCATTGAGCTTATTCTATTTTTATACATTGTATAATTTGGGTTGTGGGGTTTGTGTGATATTGAGTGTGAGTCTACATTGTGTTCTCGTCTATTATAGAGAACAAATTTATATTTGTAAGCGTCATTGTGAGTTGTACATTGTATTATACTTGGACACCGAGAGAAGTGGTTGGTGTGAGACGGGGTCGGTTCCAAGAGGAATGGGGTCGGTAGTAAAGCCTAGTGAGAGGTGATAATTCCGAACACTTGAGGAAGGTGACATGGGCTAGGCCAACACTTAGAGGGTGTGAAGTGTAATTGCAAGTGTGTAATTTGTAAAGTTTTCGGTAAACTAGAAAACCGATTGTTGTAGAGAGCTTAATTGTGAGGATTTGTAATACACTAGTACACCAAGAGGAGTGTGTGGTGAGAGATGGGGTTGTCCCAAGAGGAGTGGGGTAGGTGGTAATGTCTAGAGAGAGGTTGTAATTCCTAACACTTGAGGGAGACACGGGCTAGAGACCAACACTTGAAGTGGTAGTTAGTGTAGTTACATTGTGAGATTGTGAACATTGATCGGTGAGCGTTGAAAACCGATATTGTGTGGTGCAAATGTTTTCGGGTGATCGTTGAACACCCGGTGTGATAGTGGATTTCTCCCCGGGAGTGGGGAGCGGAGACGTAGGACGGAAGGTCTGAACTCCGTGATCATATTGTGTGTTTGCATTGTTTATATTGCCATATCACAATTGTATCTTTTGTTTATCTTGTTTCACCATTGTTTATATTGCTTATCCTTGCTAATAACTCATTGCATATCTTATTTGCTAGGATAATTTGTTAATAAGTTTTAATTTGGCATAAATCGGATTAGATTAGCATAAACCCTATTCACCTCCCTCTAGGGTCTTTCCTAGTGGTATTAGAGCAAGTGCAGCAAGCTCCCAGTTGGGAGTCCTAGTCAGCATGCTCTCAAGAGCTCTCAAGCCATCTAGAATAAAAAATTAATAAATTATGTCTTGGGAGGCACTCTTTCTTTTATGGAGCTCCAACAAGCTCCTAGTTAGGAGCGCCAACAATATCAAAAAAAACCCTCTTCTATTTTAATATTTTACTCATTACTTTTAATTATATTTAAACCTCTTGTATTTTATTTCTAACCGTTGGATACGGCCTTCGAGGGAGCGCACACGAAATTCGAGGTAACCCACGGTCTTCGAGGGAGCGCACACGCTCTTCGAGGTATCCCGCGGTCTTCGAGGGAACGCACACGGTCTTCGAGATAACCCGCGGTCTTCGAGGGAACGCACACGGTCTTCGAGGTAACCCGCGGTCTTCGAGGGAACGCACACGGTCTTCGAGGTAACCCGCGGTCTTCGATGTTGGGCACGAAGTTCGAGGTATCGCAAACTTTGACCGTCAACCGACTGATGCCTATAAAATTCGACGGCTTCTCTCCTCAACCCATCATCTCCCAGAATAAAATGTCTAGCTCATCTAGCTCTAGCGATGATGAAATGATAAAGACGTTCTTTCTTATGGGAGCTGATGTCGTTGAGGAAGAAGAACAAGAGAAATGTTCAGCTTCGGTTCAACACAAACGACGTATCGTGCTCAATCGAAACCGACTGGAAGGCCACAATCGGTTATTCCAAGATTATTTTGCTGACGCACCAACCTATCCTCTTTATTATTTTCGTCAAAGGTTCAGAATGAGGCGTTCGTTATTCCTTCGAATCCACGACGCAGTCGTCGAACATGACAAGTACTTCGTCCAAAAGAGGAATGGTGCTGGACAGTTAGGACTATCTAGTCTTCAAAAGATTACTGCAGCTATGCGGATGCTCGCATATGGAGCATCCGCTGACTCCGTTGACGACTACGTTCGGATCGGTAAAAGTACGTCGCTTGAGAGCGTGAAGAGGTTCGTTCGATCGATTATCAACATCTTTGGGGAGGAATACCTTCGTTCACCGACTAATGAAGACGTTGCACGCCTGCTCGAGGAAGGCTCACAACGAGGTTTTCCTGGTATGCTTGGGAGCATCGACTGCATGCACTGGACATGGAAGAACTGTCCAACTGCCTGGCAAGGTATGTATACTGGACATTTTCATGAACCCACAATTATTTTGGAGGCCGTAGCTAGCAAAGATCTTTGGATATGGCATGCCTTCTTTGGACTGCCGGGGTCTCACAATGACCTTAATGTTCTACATCGTTCACCGGTTTTCGCACAACTTGCGGAGGGAAGAGCTTCACCGTGCAACTATACTGTCAATGGCCACGAGTATAATATGGGATACTATCTCGCCGACGGGATTTACCCAGAGTGGTCCACATTAGTGAAGACTATTCCAGCACCACGAGGAAATAAGCATAAATACTTTGCTCAACAACAAGAGAGCGCAAGAAAAGATGTTGAGCGAGCTTTTGGCGTGTTGCAAGCTCGATTTGCGATTGTTCGTGGACCAGGACGTTTCTGGCAACCTTGTGTGCTGAAAGATATCATGACAGCTTGTATCATAATGCATAACATGATCGTTGAAGATGAACGTGATTGTCAATTGGACAACAACTTCGACTTTACTGATTCGGTACCAGTCGTTGAACCTTCTCATGTGCAGACGGTGCCTCTAACTGAGTTCATCCAAAATCATCATCGGATCAGGAACACGCAAACACACAAATCACTAAAAAATGATTTGATCGAGCATCTGTGGCAGCTCAAGGGATCCATCGCCGAGGATTAAGTTTCTTTATGTCTAATGTAATTTCAGAAAAGGAGTTCAAGTTATTGTACTACGCCAATTTCATTTTTAATAAAGTAGTTATTTTCATTCAATGCCAAATTTTTCAACTTCAAGTACAATCATAAATCTAATATAAGATAATATTTGATAATTAGGAAGAACTAATGAGGATGCGATGCGAGTACAATATATGATAATTAGGAAGAACCCTTGGACATCCACCTCTCCAAAATCTCTGCCTGACGCATTTCAAAGTATTGACGTTGAACTGAATTGAGTGTTGAGAGATCGATCTTCATGATATCGTCATCTTGTTTCTTCTGTTTTAGCTCCATTTTTCTTTGTTGGTTTGCTTCATCCACGCGAAAGCCTCTCCCATAATGGACTTAGCGGACTCAGATTTGTCCACATTTTGTTTCCTCTTGAGTTTTGCCGCTTTCCTCCCTTCAGGCCTTGCTATAACATCATCCGAGTCAATGTTCAACTCGATGGGGGTCGCTGGCATGGAATTGTTTGGTGAGGAATCAGAGTTCGTGGTTCTTCTCGGCTGTGATCGGATCTTATTGTAATTTTCCATTTGTTGGCTCCACTTTTGGTGATGACGCAACTCAACCCAACAATGGTCAAACACGAATGGCTTACCATAAAGGGATTGATATAATTCTTTTACTTCTGCAGTCTACACAAGAGTTAAATTTAGAATAATCAAACATATAAGTTAAATATTTACATAAAAACATATAAGTTAAATATTTACCTGGTCAATAATTCCCGTACCAGATCTTTGTCTTCCTTCAATCTGAGCAACGCACCCGCAGAACTTGTTGACAGATAGTTGAATCGTTGACCAACGGTGCATCATTTGGTTTGGTGTGCGAAGAACTTGTTGACAGATAGTTGAATCGTTGACCAACGGTGCATCATTTGGTTTGGTGTGCGATTCGTTGGATCGGTGGAGTATTGGATAAAGTAGTCGTTAGCTCTGTGCCAAAACTTATCTTTGTGTTGCCCCGTACCTTGGATGGCGTCTTGGCTCGTATTCAGCCAAGCAGACACAAGAAGCTTATCCTCGTGGACAGTCCAATTTTCGGACCGCGTGTAAGCCTTCTTCTTCTTTGTGGTCGGTGTTTCTTGGGATGACACTTGTTGTGTTGCGGATTGCGAGAACTCGATGGGATGACCTTCTTCTCCGACTTCTGTATAGAACGGCGAGTATAAGGTCGATCCTTCACCGGTAAGGAGATGCGAATAATAGTTTTGTGAGGGATCCATAAGATTTGTAATTTGATAGGGATATATTGAGTTTTTTTATGAGAGAGTTGTGTGAAATATTTTGAGTAGTGAGATGTGAATTTATAGATGTTTTTACAACAGTAATTTTTTCAACAGCTAGAATTTTCACAACGTTAATATTTCCCCAACGTCAATATTCCCAACGGTAATATTTTCCACAACGTCAATTTTCCCAACGGTATTATTTCCACAACGTCAATATTCCACAACGTTCGATTATCAACAAGAAAAAATTACTGCAGCTCAAATCTTCAACCGCAGGCCCAATTCTTCGACAAAATCAAACAGCCCTCTTCCCCAAAATTCACAAAAATTCCCAAATCAAAGATCCCAATCCTTCTTCTCCTTCGACAACCCCAGCCCCAATTCTTCGACAGACCCAAAAGCCCTCATCCCCGAACGCCACCGCCACCGCAAAAGCCCTCATCCCCAATTCTTCGACAGACCCAAGCTGGCCATCGCAGTCTCCGAACGCCACCGCCACCGCAAAAGCCCTCATCCCCAATTCTTCGACAGACCCAAAAGCCCTCATCCCCAAATCTTCGACACAGCAAACCCCGATTTCTGATTTTGGAGGGGGGTTTTTGCAAATCCTCCACCAGTTGGGAGCTCCCAAGCGCTCCACAAATTTGTGGAGCGCTTGGGAGCTCCGAAGCTGGTGGCCGCCACGTCGGACCTGAGAGCGAAGCTTGGGAGGGCTTCGGAGGCTGTTGGAAGGGGATTTTTCGGAGACCGAGGCCACGTCGGACTTGAGAGCGGAGATGGGAGCTCGCTGCCCATGCTCTTAGGGTGCTTTCACTTGCTAGGACAGACTCTCGGATCACATAATCAAACACTTGGGCGTGGTTGATTCAATCACTTGGATAGAATTGATGAACAATTAATGCTGAGACGGGAGAGCCACGGCCATTACACTCAGGAACATCCTCGTCGAGATAGATAATGGTGGAGGCAAAGAAAAATCCAAACTCTAGCAATCTGCGCGCTGATGTGAAAGCTAAGAATGTGGCGATAGGCAGTCAATATACCACAGCAACAGCCATAACGGCAACGGGAATGCAAACAACAATATACTGCTCGAATGCCAACCGTAGCTACAATCAAGCGCCTCCGCTGGGACAAAACTAGGGGGGACATCCTCCGCGTCAGCAGAACCAGCTCGGGCGGGATTCCAACAAAGTTTTACACTTGCAAGATGGACGCGCCTCATCAGGGGAGGGTTTATCAAGCTTGTGAATCCAAAGAGAACTAAAGATCACCAACTTCAATCAACATGGCCAACGAACCAAAGGATTAGTTCATGTTTCTCGTCCTAAATGGGAACACTCATGTGGGTTCATCTGGTGTTGCGTGAGGAAAAAAAAATGTGCGTTGCAAATGCACAACGTAGTTATAGTATAGAAAATATAGAACCCACATGGAGAAAATTTTCTTTTATTTTTAAGTTAAAATTTTCCTTTTTATATATGAAGTTGTTTGAAAAAAGGGTTTTTTTTTATAAAAAGGTGTTGGAAAAGGGGTTTTGGTTTTTTGTTAAAGAAGAGAAAATAGATTTAGAAAGACGGAGAGAGGAGGGAGACAATAGGGATGCAAATAAGAAAAGAGAAGTGAAGAAATAAAATAAAATAAATAAAAATAAAAACAAGAGAAAAAGAGAGAAAGAAGGAGAATTAAAAGAACTAGAAAGAAAATGCAAAAACTAAAAGAATTAGTGGGGAAAAAGAAAAGGTGAAAACTAACAAAATTGGGGAATAAAAGAAAGAAAGAGCAAGAGAATTAAACTAAAAATTAAGGATAAATTCCAGTAAATAACTATTTAGTAGATCTAGAAGTTACTCTCTTTTTATTCATTTTTAGAATTAAAATTTATTAACCAACCAATCTAATTAAAGAAAGTATAGACTATCAAGATAGATTCTAAAAATGAATTTTGAAATTTATGCACAGTAATCTATTGAAAATAATAATTCTAGAATACTAATAACCATAGATTATCAAATCAGATAAGAAAATTATAACTTATCAAATTAGAATAATGTATCAACTGTTATTTTGATTGGTTAATCTATACACAAATAAAATTAAGGCATAAAAGAGAGAAAATCTAATTCTAATAAATAAGCTATACTAATTTTTTCTTATCCTAATTATCCTAAGAATTTTAGCCACACATTTTATTAAAGTCATCGATGACCCTAGCCTCATCAATGAGACTGATGGTGCGGTCATCGATGAGCCCTAGCCCCATCAATGATCCTTATGGTGGAGTCATTGATTTTAACTCACCAACGATGAAGGAAAAATTAGAGATTTTCTAGTCACCGATAAGCCAAGGCACTCATCGATCAACCAAGGTCATTGATGAGGCATCTCGCTCATCGATGAGCCTAGAGCAATTTTTCAGATTTTGAGATCTAATCTCAGTCGTTCGATGTAGCTGACTTTCTCTCCTTTTGTTTTGAACAATTCTCCTATCCTAATC